AGAACGGCGCTCAGGATGCCCACTGTTCACTGTATCAAGCATAGTTCTGATGTTCCAACATGCGAGTGTCAATCTGGACACACCTTTGGAGGCAGGTGTATGCCTTTGTCTCTGTCTTTAATTGACCGCAATAGAAGATGCCCGTTGGCCGTGGCTAGCCAACCAGGTGAAGGGGAAGATAAGCTTTGGTTAGGCCACCTTTTCTAGGCCTCTCTCCATATGAAGCAAGCAGTGCTGTCCTTGAAAAAGGCTGCTTGGTCATTCAGGATGCTGCCGAACAAGACAGTCATCTCCTGGGTCAGTCTCGAGCGACCAATGTCCTGAACCACCTGCATGCAGGGTTGGGTCTGCAACTTCCAGTGCACCTTATCACCTGCCGTTTCGTCCCTCGCCTGTCGCTACAGGGCTTTGAAAGTGTGGGTAAACCCTTCGGGCCTGCGCAGTGGATTTATTTTAGGTGAGGCACAGCGTGCGCAGAACTGGCCTCACCCTTTACACCTGAGGTTTATCTGCCAGGGCCTAGCGAGCTTGGATGGTGACAGCAAAGTCCTCGGGTCATAGGCTTGATTAGAGTATCCTTCACTTAGATGGATGGCCTTACAGGGCTGTACGAGCTCCATCTGCCCGGGTTTAAAATTGGAGTTGTCCTTCTCCTAGGATGGTTGCCTGAGGGCTAGTGAGCCCATCCTGCCCATGAACACACTTTGTCTGACCCTTCATTTGAGACCTTGACTGGCATGGGAAACCCTACCGGAAGCATAAGCCACCACCAGCGTAGCTCCCAACTTCGCAAGGGCACGTGAGTTTTTTCCCCACGACAAGGGGGTGTCCGTGAAACAGCCAATACCCCCCTAAAACCTCAGTAACACCCTCGAGACCCCAAATACCCCCAGGGACCCCAAATACACCCTTGTGGCTCCAGTACCCCCAACTGCCCCCCCGTGTCCCTCACCGGGCATTGGGCTGCACTGCACGATGGAGCAGAAAGTATCCCGGGTGCGCTTGTGCTTCTCCTCAACGCACTGCAGGTCCTCCTGACGGGGCAGGCAGCAGAAATCCACGGCCACGCCGCGCCGCCAGCCGAACGGGCACCACAGTTCCACATGCGTGCTCCTGGGCTGCCGGACGCTGGGACCCAGGAACGCTGGCGTCCGAAACACGACGGCGACCTGGCGATGGACATCGGCCCGCGTGAAGGAGCCGCGAGCTCCCCAGCCCTCGGCCTAGAAGCGCACCTCGACGTCCCCTCCACGCCTGTCCTCCAGCACCAGCAGCACCGCTCGGGGTCCGCGCTCCAAGGCCGGGCCCAGCAGCTCCCGCAGCCCCCCCCCCGCTGTCACCACTCAGCCCCCCCGGCGGCGGCCACAGGGCCCTCCGTGTGGGCCAGGCCAGCAGCAGCACCTGTGCGGTCCGCACCAGGCCCGGGCCCGCAGGGCGGCCGCCAACACCACCGCCATCTTCCACTCAGCCTGACCCCAGCAGTGATCTACCCCTTCCAGGTAACTGCCCCCAGCTTATATACTGGCCATGACGTGCTGTGGAATACCTCTTTGGCTAGTTTGGGTCAGGTGTCCTGTCTCTGCTTCCTCCTGGCTTCCCCTCCTCCCTGGCAGAGCATGAGACTCAGAAAGTCCTTGATCGGAGTAAACATTACTGGGCAACAACTAAAACCATCGGTGTTATCAGCGTTGTTCCCAGGCCGAAAGTCAAAATCACAGCACTGCACCAGCTACTAAGGAGAAAAATGACTGCTACTGCTGAACCCAGGACAGCTTCAAATCATGATCTGCACTGTCCAGAAAGCACCACGTATTCCAAACACCGCTATGGTGTTGTGTTAGGAATCACAGGAGATAGGTTAAAATTCTAACATACCTTTAACTTGGCATACTTGGAAAGGAGGCTAAAGTACACTGGTTCATAAGCATATTTTCTGTATTTGTCTTCAGCTCTTAACTTTAAACCACATTGCATCCTTACTCCACTAAATACCAGGAAAAACTGTTACTCCTTTACTGGAACTTCCCAGAATGTGACAGTAAGATGCCATACATTGCAAGCATCAATAAAAACTCTACTGCAGTCAGCAAAACTGTGTCCCCAAGAAAGCAAGATCTATTTTTGGCAGAAAGATATGCCAATCAAAACCTTGACTGAACAAGATGCAGTTTGTATCTTCAAACTGTTTCTTGTAAATTTCTGCCACCAGTGAAAACTCGATTTTAACATATATGGGTACCAAAGGAAGTTGTAGCGGCTGGTAACTATCTCTGCAGTTTTTTACAAATCAGAAGCACAGGAATTAATCACAGAATTATAGAATGGTTTGGGTTGGAAAAAACCTTAAAATCATCTTGTTCCAACCCTGCTACCATGGGAAGGGACATTTCCCACTAGATCAGGTTGCTCAAAGGATGCTCCTCACATCCTATTTAAATGTAGAAAAGAAATAAAAGGGATGGGATTAGGAAGGTATTCAGGTAAAAAAAATGGTGACAATAGTATCTGGTTTAAGTTTTAACGACTTTATTTAAAAGTCATTCAGCTACCCTTGTTCACAAGTCATGACAATTTATGCAGTAGACAGAGTATCAAAAGAAACAGTGGTATTTCACAGCACAGATACATTGTTCAAAAGGCTCGATGCAGTAACATTCTGTAGGATGAAACACTTCAAAAATTGTTTATTTTTTTTTTTTTTTACTGAAGCTGGAATGAGAGAGGCTATGAAAATTATGCTGTAATTAAAATGGCTGCAACTCACATCTACGATACCCCGGCTAGCAGGTTTCAACGCGGACTCCCAAAGACACCCGCTACAAACTGCCCAACTGCCGGGGACCCACCGTTTCAGCGAGGTTTAGGAAAAGCCAAGACTTCAGCTATGTACCTGCCATGCCACTTTGCTGACAGCGCGCACCTACTAAACGCGACCCATCTTTCAAGACTCCTTACCCCTTACTCGCGACCCGGGTCCAGGCAGCCGAGGGCCCCTGCGCCAACACACCGAAACCTGCCAGCAGGCGCCCGCCGCCGCCCTGAGCCCCAGTGACAGTCTTAGCCGGGCTCGGAAACCCTTGGCGCTGCTCGGCCCGATCCCGCCGCACAGACTCAGACACCCCATCAGCGGCGCCGCGTTCCCGCCCCCCGGCAACAGACCCGGCACAGCCCAACCATCTGTGGGGGAGGAGGGAGGAAAATGACTCTCTCCGTGTAGCATTTATCCGTATAGGGACGGAGAGAGGAGGCTTCAGTGGGGTTATCTTGGTGGCTCAGACTTTGTCAACAAGTAAGAGCTCGATTATAGCTGCCTCCCTGAGAATACGCTAAGACCAACTCGTCCACCATGACTCCTGTCCAGACGATGGTACCGCCCCAAGGCGGAACCCTGTAATTATCGCGAGAGGCCTTTGCGTGGGTTGTCATGGGAACGGTGCCGGCGATAGCAGTCGTGCCAGCTCGTCCGGCCCCGCGCTGCCGCCCTCCCGCGGTAGAGGTGGGACGGACACGGTGGTGCCGGAGCATAACGCGGTCCTGTGTCAGCCCCTCCGGGGGAGGAGGGCTCAACCTGCCTCAGGCAGGGTGGCCGGAGCTGCGGCTCTGTCGGGCAGCACGCCCAAAGAAGCAGCGCCCGGGGCTCCTTTTGGAAGCGCAGGAAAGGGCTGCCTGCCTGCCTGCCTATCTGCCTATCTACCTACCTACCTACCTATCTGCCTGCGGTACGTGGTAACTTCCAGTAAGATAACTGTGTGTTGTGTACGGTTGTTTGTATGGGCTTGTTTGGTTGGTTGGTTTTTGTTCCGGAATCAGCCTGTTCCACAGACTAAGCCTGGGATCTGTAAGTTGACGTGAACTGACTCTTTTTCTTCTCTGCCCATTTCTTTATACTTTGTTATGCATGGGAAGGCCACGAAGGTACTATGAGGGCTGGAGTACCTCTCTTGTGAAAACAGGGTGAGAGAGTTAGGGTTGTTCAGCCTGGAGAAGAGAAGGCTGTATGGAGACTTTAGAGCAGCCTTCCAGTACCTAAAAGGGGCTTATAAGAAAGCTGGAGAGGGATGTTTTACAAGGACATGTAGTAACAGGACACGGGGGAATGGCTTCAGGCAGTCAGAGGGGAGATTTAGGTTAGATTTAGGTTAGATGTAAGAAATAAGTTCTTCCTGGTGAGGGTGGTGGAGCACTGCACAGGTTGTTCAGAGGAACTGTGGCTGCCCCATCCTCGGCAGTGTTCAAGGCCGAGTTGGATGGGGCTTTGAGCAACCTGGTCTAGTAGAAGGTGTCCCTGTGCATGGCAGGAGGGTTGGAACTAGATGTTTTTTAAGATCCCTTTCAGCCCAAACCGTTATTTGATCTGGTGTGTGTACATGAGTCAGTTTGTACTTTTTCTTGCACTGCAATAATAAGTTGTATTCATTTGGGCCTTCTGAAAAATACCAGATACTCAGATACCTAATTTCTGTAAATTCACACTTTTTTTTTTTTTTTTTTTGCAGAGAACCATGCTTTTCTATTGTTTAAACTCAAATTTTAATTGAAACAGGGAATGTGATCATTTGGATTTGGGAACTCCCACTGTTTAGAAGTGCTGAATATAAAAGGCTTTTTGTTGCTTTATTTGATATGTTCAGGGTGTCTTTAAAATATTCTCATTCTTTTCTTGATGCAAATTTTTCTAGTCCCATGTTTTTAAGAAAATAACAATAAAAAGAGCCAGGAGGTTTCCTTTGTTGTGAGACTACTTTTAAGATTTTAGCTATTTAAAGTTCTATGACAGTATGCACATTTGAATACTTTGGTTGGCGCTTGATAATATAAATGTATATTTGTACATATATTAATAAGTGTATAGTAGCAAGCTAGTCTATACTCCGAACATTGAATCGATAGAAAGGATTTGAAACTTGTGTAATCTGCATCTGAAATACTGCTGTGTTTGTGTTGCTTTATTATAAAACTGATAGTTTGAAAGGTGGTGGGTTTTTTTCTTTCCAATTTTAGGTCTCAGTGGATATTAAGAGGGGAAGCTTGGATAAAATACCAAGGCCTGCATCTAGCTCAAGAGCTTATCCTAATTGTAGATCTTTAAAACATCTATGGAGTTACCAACAGCAGAGCCACATTTGCCTAAGGTAATTCTTTTCACCTTCATTAGGTTAGAAACCCTGTATCTAATTCTTACTAGAATGCCAAAGGAGTAAGATTCTGCCTTTTTCGCTTCATATAAAGTCCTGGGCTCTGCAGGCGTGCTAAGGGGTTATGTGAAAGCTCATGAATGTGGGCTGCTCTTTGTGCATACATGGAATGATGTTTAATTTCATTTTTCAAAACCTGTGTTACTTTTGTGTTCACCACAAAAAGGGCTATTCAGCAGTACAACCTGGAAAACTGGTTTGTCTTCCTCTTTATGTTTAAGCAGATTATTAAATACTGTCTTAAAGAAAATCTGTCAATAATGCATAGATACATAGCTACAGGCTGTTGATGCGTGAGCCATGAAATTGTGTTTCGCTTCCATCCCATTTGTCCTTTTAAATTTAAGATGGATAAAAATTATATTTACTATTAAAAGAAATTGTGAGCAATCTTCACAAGTTGAATTTTTGTTTATAAAGTGCTAACAGGATATGTTTGAATCAAATAAAAAAAAATTCATCATGTTTCAAGAAGTATGTAAGCTCCAGGGATTTAACAGAAACCATCTGTCCTCTGAAAAAACTAATATTGGGGATTAACTTAATTTTGGGAATGGGGTATTGGATAAGGTTGTTGGGATGTAGGAAGTGGGTCTTGGGAGTTACAGATTTGGATTGTTATAGTTAAGATTAGTCCAATTGTATTGTCCCTCTGTTCACCTGTCTGTAGAATGGGATGCTTCACAGAAGTATTAAAATATTTTTTTATAGGTTCACTATTGGGTATTAAGTTAACATCAGGTAACTCTTAATCCAAATTTAGACCTATGCAATTGCATGAAAATTTCTGTTGCTTGAGACATAAAATAAGCATAACCTTTTCAGCCCTTCAAAGACTATAAAAAACTATGAGGAAAGTTTGGAATGCTACTACATGGTGCAGTGGACCCACAGTGTCAGGGAATGAACAAGGCTGTTGTACACACAAGCTGTTAATTGGTTGACTCTAGCCTGTGCTGCAGCAGAAATGGCATAAACCTTTGAAATCTTTTCCTAGTCTGGCAACCCCAAATCTTGCATTCTGCGGAATGATGAGATTGAGAATCAATGTGATATCTAGGAAACAGAATTCTGTGTTGTATCTGAAAATGGTTGTTTCATTTAAGAAGTACTTAAAAACAGTGATGTATAGAATCAGCAAAAATCACAGAAAAAATAAGCTTAAAAATAATTTCCTCAGCCTGACTAGTAGTCAGTGCAGTGTTATATAGAATTGTTGTTAGCCTTTGTAATAGTATGTGATTATTGTGATTATATTTTTCTCCCCCCAGAATATTTTTAGTTTTGTGATAACAATTAATTTGGATTTCATAGGTTGATTCACCTGTCAGTTTGCCTGGTAGTCATCAAAGAGGCAGTTTAGAACACTGCTGTCCAGAGGAAAACAAAGGTGATAACAGAGAGAAATCTGATGTCAAGGAATTAAGAATAGATTGGCAAACCACGATGGAGAGTACAACTGTCTTTCTTCAGAAATGTATACGGAATCGCAAGAAGCTGTCAGGTGTGGAATGACTTTCACTTTCTTGTGTTGTGGCTAGACCAAATATAATGTTTGTGTAGTTTGGGTAAAATTCTATTGGTGGTGGGAAAAGAGGGTGCAAATTGATAAAATCCTAGAAGAGAAGGAGGTGTGAAAATTCATACCTTCATTTCTCTTCACTATATTGAATACATCTTTGAAATAAATGTGTTATTACTGCCATTACTACCACAACATATGTCTTGTGGCATCTAAGCTGTGATATGCACCCAGGAGAACCCATCTGCATGTGTCCTATGGAACCATGGTAGGAGATGTGTTCAGTAAGGCGTTTTTATCAAACTTTTCACACAGATCATGATAACTTGTTAGAAATTTTGTATCCTAATAATGGTCCACCAGTCCAAAAACCTGGAAATTATGGTTGTAATTTATAGTGTTTAATAACTGAACAATGCTAATACTAATAACATACTTTACATACAAATATGCAGTATCTAATTTTGATGAAGGCAGTTTTAGAAATGCTTCAGATTGCTTTCTTTATTACGATTCTATAAGTTGTAATAAATTAACTTTCTAGAGCTTCTGCCTCTTTAAAAATAGAAAAGGTCAGTATGTGAAGCAAAAGTTTGGATACCTTCTTCAAGGTTAGATAAGATTTCATGGCAGAATTGCAGTCAAAATAAATCCCTTGATTCCTGTTCCTGTGTTTGAGTGCTAGTACGCTAGTAGTTATAATTTTTTAAACAGTAATCCATACAGAGGCTTTGTGGATTGCAAAAAATATTTTGGTGTCTTTATTGTTAACATTTCAAAAAGTATCTTTAAACATTGTTTCAATTGTATTTTTTTTTTTGGTGAAAGGCTTTTTCATATGTTTTTAGGATGTATCTCTAACTCAGATTCTGGAGGCGACTGCACTGAAATACAGACTTTAAAATTCTGTGAACCTTCCCAAGGAAAACTAAGTAATGCAAGAGCAGGTACTACTTTTCAGGTTTATAAAGTGAACTGTGCAATAAAACTTCTGCCCCCCTTCCACTTGTTAATCCTTCTCAGAGTTTGGGACCATGGTGTATTTGTGTGTATATTCTGTAGTTATAAAGAAATATAACAAATTGAAAATGTATGTACCTTGTGATATTCAAGAGGTGTTGGATGAATACTTTATTTAAAGATTATTTTATTAAAGGATATTCACTTTCTTTAATGATATGGTAGTATTTGAGTTTTACATTGTTTCAGTCAATCTAATAAGGCAGAATCCAGGGGTGATTCTATGTAGTGCAGTAGTGCTGGTAATCTAGCATAGTATTAATTTCTTCAAAAAAGAAACGGGATAGAGCTCAACTTCAAAGCTTCACTCAGGACTTTCAGGTCAAATCCATTTGCTCGGTTCTGGCCACTTGAAATAAATGCTCTTTTTTCAGCTTCTGCCCTTGGGGCTTTCCTGGAGCTCAGTTAAGCACTTATAGCTCTCCCTTGCTGTGTCACTCATCTCCTTTTATGGCATAAAGTAGACCAGTGCATTACAGTAAAGGCTTGGGATGAATGGGTGTGTAAAGCATTTGACCTCAAAAGATTAGAAAAATAAAGGGCATTGAAGGACTCCAAAACTTTGTGGGACAGGGACAGCACTACAGTTGTTTCCTTTATTCTTGCTATGGAAGCTAAGCTTAACCAGGAAAGAGGGCAGAGCATGAGAATGCTATATGAAGGGGAAAAGCTAAAAGTGATAAGAAATTGTAATCTGCATGTTTAAGAAAAAATGAGATAGTACAAAAATCTATTTTAATCAAATAATTGCAGTTTCCATCCATAATATTTCACTATTTCTGTTTTTCGAAAAACCTGTTTTCTAGAACCAGTATCAGAATCTGGTTTAGCTGAGATATAACTCAAGACTGAAACTTCAATAACATTTAAAAGTAGAGATATTACAGAATCTCTTTTAACTCCAGAATTATTCATTTTAGTGAATGACAGTTCATCGTGTATTCTACTTAGGCTGAGGAAATTATTTTTTATTTTTAAGCTTTTTTTTTTTCTTGTGGTTTTTGCTGATACTGTGGAGATATCACTCTTCTATTATAAATTTGAATCAAATCACTTGCTCAAAATGCAGGGGGCTCTGTCTCTGTTCCCCCTATACCCAGCTGCTAGAGTTCAGAGTGCGATTCAGTGTTCTGTTACAAAGACTTCTATATTTTCCATGCTATAAACAGGTTTAGAAACAAGCATGACATATGTGCTTGAGAGTATTTTTACTCATGTCTATGGTTGAAATCAAACAACTTGAACTGCATTTTTTTTCTGCTTTTTTTTTTTTTAATTGAAATGCTTCGAGCTAAAATTAATTTAAAATGCATTCTACAGCAAACCCTTCCAACTTGGAATATTCTGAAGAAACAGATGTAGATCCTCAGATTCAAGCAGCTATAAAGAAAATGAATAAACTTGACACAATACTGGCAAAAAAACATTTTAAGGAGAGAGCAATTAAAAAACAAGGCAAAGAAATGAGGGCAAAGCTCTGGGAAGAGCTTCAGGTTAGAATGTTCTGATTATTTTGTAAATAATTTGTACTTAATACGAAGTAAGATAGTTTTGCATCTTAAAGTAGTGTCTAACAATTATGTTTCATAGACATTATTTTATTAAATAACTCACGGTTGTATGTGTAAAGTGAAGAAATACATCTTAAAAAGTAACTTTGAATAGGTTTTAATATATATTGCCAACAGGCTTTGAAAGAAGGCCATGGTCATTAAAAACTGGTAAGACCAGAAGCCAAATATGCAGCTGTCTAGGCGTGGTTTGCTAGTACAGTTTTACGCTTGAGCTTGCTTGTTGCAGGTATGGTAGTGTGTAATGTTTGTGAACCGAGGCTTAAAAGTGTTTATGTCCCTCCAGTATGATTTTTCTTAGGCCCATCTATTTCAGTATTGTCTGTTACTGAACAAAAGAGATGCCCTCTGAGGAAGGTGTAAGAACCATACAGCATAAATTACTTCACATTATTCCTATCCTGCTCTCTAGCAGTTAGATGTCAGTTGAAGCCTTGAAACATACGAGTATTTCGTCTGTGGTTAAGTTTTGTATAATTTACATGAATGCAAATGTCAGTTGCAAAAGAGACATAATTGCAGTTGGTTTGACTGCATCTCATAATTTCAATGGGTTTGGATTCAAAGCCATGTATAAATTACAGAACTTTTGTATTATAAAATGTATCTCCATATACAAGACAACATGTTAGGCTTTAAAATTCTACCGTGCCTTTATCATAACTTCATGAGATGCTGTGAGAGGCTGATAGTCTTAAGAAATAAATAAAATAGTCTGTAAATGTTGCCATAGAACAAGGGATTTTTAATAGGGTCTTAAGTTCATTAGACCTGACAGTGTATTTTGCCTTCAAGTATTTTTTTTTGTCAATATATGCATGTATCTGTAAATTTATGTTTTATTTCTTTATTTCTTTTGAATAGTCTATCAGATCCACTGAAAGCCATGAAGAGATAGAAAACACAAAATTTTTTTTAGCTTTGATCTCGCCATGGCAGGATACAGCTGGTAAGTAAGAAGGAGAAGAATATATCCTGTTATAATTATCCCATATTTTGATTAATATTTTTTGATACTATAAGGCTTTCAAACCTTTACAATAAAATAATATTTGCATGTAAGAGTACATCAAGGGAATATATGAAAACTTAAATGAAATAATTTTTGCATTATCACAAATGTAGATGTTGTACTTCAACATCAGGGTTGTTTTTTTAATGGAAACTACATATGAAGCTTGATCTTGGATTTTTTTTTTTAATTGGCTTTTTTTCTGAAAATTCAAGGGAAAAAAATTAGGATAGGTGGCAGTTTCAAAAAGTGAAGATATGCTAAAGATATAATAGGAGAATATTCTCAAGGAGGAAAGACCAGGAAGTCTGTTAAGATAATTTCTGAGCTTTATTATGGTGTGATAATAAACAAACAAATATTCAAAGTGGAAGTGAACACACTGCTAAGAAGGAACTTTTGCATTTTAGTCTTTTAGTAAAAATCACTTCCATCTCAAGTAGCATTTAAACTGCCAAGTTCTGTAGCTGCATTAAAAGTAGACAAGGGACTAATGAAGGATTGAGTTCTTTACTAGAAAAAGTAAACAAATAGTTAATAAAACAGAAATGTGGAATGTGATATATAACAAATTGTAGTGAATACCAATAATGTAAAACTGTAGGTAGAGTATGGAAAGATAAGTTAAGAAATTATTTAGGCATCTTTTTTTTTCTACTGAATCAGAAGGACACAGTTTCTGTTGGAGTTCTGAAGCAAGTGGTTGAAGCACATTCTGAAGTATCAGTATTTTTTTCCAAGAATGCGAAGAGGATGTGCCTGCTCACAGGGACCTGAAAAAAGAAAATATTGGTTATTTTAAAATGTCCTTTTTCTTTCTGTGTCTGGACTTTTACTGAGGGAGACACTGGAACAAACTGTAGGCATTCTGTTCACAATGTGTTGATTGGGCAGGGGAAACAAAATCAGATTCAACTTGTCAAGAGCATACCATGTCAAAATTACTCGAGTGGGTTTAGGAAAAATTGCATTTTGAATACTCTGTCTTGGTGGTGTAGCTCTCAGAGGTGTGTCAGTTGTACATACATTTTACATTCTGTCCTGCACCTGTATACCTTGATTGAAAGGGTTTCTTGCTGAAAGGAAACAGAATTGTGGTGTATCCTGTCTTTTTTACTTTTTGGGGAGAGAACAGGTATTTGAGATCTAAATGATTATTGTTGAGCAAAAATCTCAGCTTGAATGTTGGAAATATGTGCATAATAAGGGTAGCGATTTGTGGGTAAAACACCAGCAAAGCTTATTATTATAAGGTAACCTGCTTTTATTTTTACACTAGAGTTTGGGCTGTTAGGGAAGAACACAGAATTTGATATGAGAGATATTGAAAGAGTCTCCAGTAGGTGTCAGGATATAGTAAAAAACAGTAGGCAAGCAAGACTATATGGTTGTTAATGAACTCCATGCTCCAATTCCCCTGTTATTTCAAAGGTAACTCCTTGCTGTAGAGATCATGTGCATCATATGGGTTCCAGTGTACTCTACTGAGGAAACTCTGCACAGTTCAGATTTATATTTATACTCCAGCTTGATCTTTATCTTGAATTTTCTGTGACATGCTGGTGCCTTACTTTTCAAGTCTTGTTTGTTTATTTATTTATTTATTTAAATGAATGCCCAGGTAGCTGCTTTGGCTGATACTGAAATGGAATGCAATTTATCTGTTTTGGCTTTCAGAGCTTGAATTTGATAAAGAACCCTATTAAATAAAATAAATAGGGGAGCTGTTTAATTATAGCTTTTAATGTGGCTGTGAAATCAAACACAAGTTCCAGGTACAAAATCTGAGCCCCTCAGATGCAAAAACCCCTCTGACACACTCATGGCAGAAAATGAAATCAGGAGTTAATTACATAGCCTTAAATTTATTTCCCTGTGCTCTGTGGAACAAAATCATACTTTTGGTTGAGTCCATTAAGCTCTGTTAATACAGGATGTTGGTTTTTCTTTCCATATGTGAAATATATGTTTCTTTGCAATAAGTCCTTCGCTGTAAGTGCTAAGTGTATAGACTCCAAGCTAATGCTCTATTTTACACTTCCAGTTAATATGTCAATATCATGATTGAATTTTTTCTTTGAGTAAGTGAAACAACTCTTGCATGCTAGGATGTTTGAACAGGTGGTTGTTTTTTTTTTTTCCTAGACTATACCCTTGACTAAGTCTAACAATTCATTCACAGGCAGACATCAGCTGTGAAAGCCTGGATACTTTATTCTCATTCCGAATTCTAGATGACTTGCCACATGGTGTCTGCAGAGGCTTTTGAACTTTAGGGCCTTGGGCTGTATCTTCTATAATGTACATTTTTGTCCTCGGTGAGCAGTAGTTTAAAAAACCCCAAACCAGACAGAGGAAGCAGTGTAATTATTCGTGAGAGACACCTTACATTTTCTTCTCCTTCTTTATTTCTTGAGAAATATGGTGGCTATGTAATTTATCCAAGTAAATTTCTTTAACTTTCATATGTGAGGTCTTATACTGTACATGAAAACAGATCTTCTTTAAATACAATTTAAATTTTACTGAAAAAATTCCTTGCAGGTCCCTCCTGTGCCAAGGAAGAAGAAAGACTTACTTCAGTATTTCACACACAAATTAATCCAGAAGATTATGATAGCCATAAACCCCAGTGTAATCAGGGTAACCTTTATTAATTATATAGTTTATTTGTGGCAAAAAAACATGTGCCCCTCTACTCTGCTCTTGTGAGACCTGACTTGGAGTGTTGTGTGCAGTTCTGGTGTCCTCAACATAAAAAGGACATGGAACTGTTGGAACAAGTCCACAGGAGGGCCACGAGGAGGATGATCAGGGGACTGGAGCACCTCCTGTATGAAGATAGGCTGAGAAAGTTGGGGCTTTTCAACCTGGAGAAGGCTGCATGGAGACCTCATAGCAGCCTTCCAGTATCTGAATGGGGGCCTATAGGGAATGCTGGGGATGGACTATTCATTAGGGACTCTAGTGACAGGAAAATACCTAATGGGTTCAAACTTAAATGGGAGAAGTTTCGATTGGATATAAGGAGGAAGTTCTTTACTGTAAGGGTGGTGAGGCCCTGGAATAGGTTGCCCAGGGAGGTTATGAATGCTCTAGCCCTGGCGGTGTTCAAGGCCAGGTTGGATAAAGCCTTGGGTGATATGGTTTAGTGTGACGTGTCCCTGCCCATGGCAGGGGGGTTGGAACTAGATGATCTTAGCATCCTTTCCACCCTTAACTATTCTATGATTCTATGGGTGGGTAATGAGGACTTGTCCTTTGTGACTAGGCCAATAAAATCAGAAAAAGCAAGGTTGCTAAGTGGACTGGTGACAGTTCTTTTTTTTTTTTTTTATTTTTTTAAATGATAGAATAATTTTGCTTGTGACTTTATCTAAAATAGTTTGCTCAACATGCAAAGAAAAATTTTTAAATCCAGGTTTATGAAACTTTTTCTTTCATTGCAAAATGATGAGGTATGTAACTGGTGGAAACAAGGACAGGCGGCCTGGGATGAATACAGGGATGTTGTCTGGGAAGCTAGAAACCAGGTTAGGAAAGCTAAGGCCCAGTTAGAATTAAACTTGGCTAGAGATGTGAAAGATAACAGGAAGGGATTCTATAGTTACATTGCAAATAAAAGACAGAGTAGGGACAACGTGGGCCCTCTCTGGAAGCTCTCAGGAGAACTGGCTACCCTGGATTTGGAGAAGGCTGAGGTTCTTAATGACTTCTTTGCCTCAGTCTTCACTGGCAAATGCTCTGACCACACCACCCAAGTCTTGGAAGGCAGACTCGGGGACTGTGAGAATGAAGACCTTGGGCCCACTGTAGGAGAGGATCTGGTTCGAGACCATCTTAAGAACCTGAACATACAAAAGTCCATGGGACCTGATGAAATCCATCTGCAGGTCCTGAAGAGGCTGGTGAATTAAGTTGCTAAGCCACTGTCCATCACATTTGAAAACTCATGGCAGTCAGGTGAAGTTCCCAATGACTGTAAAAAGGGAAATATAACCCCCATTTTCAAGAGGGGGAAAATGGATGATCCAGGGAACTACAGACCAGTCAGTCTCACCTCTGTGCCTGGCAAAATCTTGGAACAGATTCTCCTGGAAGGCATGTTAAGGCAAATGAAAATCAACACGGTGCTTGGTGACAGCCAGCATGGCTTCACTAAGGGGAAATCCTGCCTGACCAATTTGGTGGCTTTCTATTATGAGAATACGGAGCTGATGGGCAAGATAAGAGCAGTTGACGTCATCTACTTGGACTTGTGCAAAGTGTTCAACACTGTCCCACACGACATTCTTGTCTCTAAATCAGAGAGACATCAATTTGATGGATGGACCACTTGGTGGATAAAGAACTGGCTGGATGGCTGCACACAAAGAGTTGTGGTCAATGGCTCAATGTCCAGCTGGAGACCAGTAACAAGTGGTATCCCTCAGGGATGGGTGTTGGGACCAGGCTTGTTCAATATCTTTGTTGGCAACATAGACATTGGGATTGAATGAGCCCTCAGCAAGTTTGCCAATGACACCAAGCTGTGTGGTTTGGTTGAATGCCATCCAGAGGGACCTTGACACACTTGTGAGGTGGGCTGATGAAGTTTAACCACACCAAATGCAAGGTCCTACACCTGGGTTGGAGCAATCACAGGCACAGCTACAGGCTGGGCAGAGAAGAGATTCAGAGCAGCCCTGGGGAGAAGGACTTGGGGGTGTTGGTCGATGAGAAACTTAACATGAGCCAGCTTGAGTCTGCCCTTTCAGACCAGAAAGCCAACCGTATCCTGGGCTGCATCAAAAGGAGCGTGACAAGCAGGTCAAAGGAGGTGACCCTGCCCCTCTACTCTGCTCTTGTGAGACCTCACCTGGAGTATTGTGTACAGTTCTGGTGTCCTCAGCATAAAAAGGACATGGAACTGTTGGAACAAGTCCAGAGGAGGGCCATGAGGAGGATGATCAGGGGGCTGGAGCACTTCCTGTATGAAGATCGGCTGAGAAAGTTGGGGCTGTTCAGCCTGGAGAAGAGAAGGCTGCTTGGAGACCTCATAGCAGCCTTCCAGTATCTGAAGGGGGCATATAGGGATGCTGGGGAGGCACTCTTCATTACGAACTGTAGTGATAGGACAAGGGGTAAGGGGTTAAAACTTAAACAGGGGAAGTTTCGATTGGATATAAGGAGGAAGTTCTTTACTGTAAGGGTGGTGAGGCACTGGAATGGGTTGCCCAGGGAAGTTGTGAATGCTTCATCCCTGGCGGTGTTCAAGACCAGGTTGGATAAAGCCTTGGATGACATGGTTTAATGTGAGGTGTCCCTGCCCATGTCAGGGGGGATGGAGCTAGAGGATCTTAAGGTCCTTTCCACCCCTAATTGTTCTACTTTTCTAGGATTCTGTGACTCAATATACAGTGTATCATTGGTTCTTCGTGGAAATTCTTTAAAAACTTGTCTTTGCTGTTATGCTAAGGTACAGTATCTTTCATTATAGGCTTATATTCAAGAAACTATCTACAAATTAAGAGTGGTGCTGTATACAGTTTTAACTGTTCTGTTTTTTTTTTTGTTTGTTTTGTTTTGTTTTGTTTTGTTTTGTTTCCAGGAGAAATTCTCTAGATGTTTTGACAAACCTAAATCTTCAAACAAAACTAATTTCATATTTTATTACACAGATGATTGTAGAGGCTGCATTGCTTTTATAGATTAGGTACTTTCTGGCAAAAATCAGACATCTGTGCTGGTTGACCACAGAGGATTCTATGAGGCTCTGAAGGCAGTGTATGGACCCACATTCCAGGTTCAAAGCCCCTTACTTAGCGCAGATGGCCAAACGCTTCTTACAGATAAAATCTCCATCCTGAATCGTTGGTCTGAACATTTTCAAACCCTCTTTAGTGCTACTCGTGTAGTCCAAGGCAAAGGAATCCAGCACATTCTGCAACATCTGGTGAAAAACGAATTGGATTTAGCCCCTACCATGGGAGAGACTCTTAAGGCCATACAGCAGGTGAAAACTGGCAAGGCAGCTGGCGTTGATGGAATCCCGCCTGAAATATGGAAGTACGGAGGCCAAGCACTTCGCGCTAAATTCCATGAGTTAGTTGTGTGCTGTTGGGAACAAGGCAAAATACCGTCAGACTTTCATGATGCAATCATCGTCACTCTGTATAAGAAAAAAGGTGCGAAGTCAGACTGCTCAAGCCATCGTGGTATAACTCTGCTCTCCATTGCTGGTAAAATTCTTGCAAGAATACTATTGAACAGACTAGTACCTGCTATCGCAGAAGAACTTCTACCTGAAAGTCAGTGTGGTTTCAGGGCTAATAGAAGTACCACAGACATGGTATTTGTTCTCAGACAATTGCAAGAAAAGTGTAGAGAACAGAATAAGGGGTTATACGTAACTTTCGTTGACCTCACCAAAGCTTATGACACTGTGAGCAGGAAAGGCTTGTGGCTGATCTTAGAACGATTAGGTTGTCCCCCCAAGTTCCTCAAAATGATTATTCTGTTACATGAGGATCAGCAAGGCCAAGTCAGGTATGGTGATGCACTCTCTGAGCCTTTCCCAATAACCAATGGTGTGAAACAAGGTTGCGTTCTCGCACCGACTCTATTCACAGTCTTCTTCAGCATGATGCTCCAAAGGGTTACAGCAGACCTCGACGAACAAGACGGCATTTATATTCGATATCGTACCGGTGGTAGCCTATTCAATCTAAGGCGACTGAAGGCCCACACTAAGACCCTAAACCATCTTGTCCGTGAACTGCTTTTTGCTGATGATGCTGCCCTTGTTGCCCACACAGAAGCAGCTCTGCAGCGTTTAACATCTTGCTTCGCGGAGGCAGCCGAGGTTTTTTGGGCTGGAAGTCAGCTTGAAGAAGACAGTAGTCCTCTACCAGCCTGCACCACAAGAAGATTATCTCCATCCCCATATTACCATCGGCGAGTCAGAGCTTAAGACAGTTCAGCAGTTCAGCTATCTGGGAAGCATCATTTCCTCAGATGCCACGATCGACAAAGAGATAGACAACAGAATAGCAAAGGCATATAGAGCCTTTGGAAAACTCCATAAAAGAGTCTGGTGTAATAAACACCTGAAGAAATGTACAAAGGTCAGTGTCTACAGAGCCATTGTATTGTCTACTCTTTTATATGGGTCTGAATCATGGGTCATTTACCGTCCTCACCTGTGACTCCTGGAACGCTTTCATCAGCGCTGCTTCTAAACATCCATTGGACTGACTATGTGTCTAATGTCACTGTCCTCGAACGGGCAGGGGTCACCAGCATTGAGGCCATATTGCTGAAATTGCAGCTGCGCTGGGCAGGGCACATCTCTAGAATGAAGGATCACCGCCTCCCCAAGATCGTGTTTTATGGTGAACTTGCCACCGGTAGCCGCAAGAGAGGTGCCCCAAAGAAGAGATATAAGGACTCCCTGAAACAATACCTTAGCCTTGGCCATATTGACTACCATCAGTGGTCCACCTTGGCCTCCAATCGGGAGACTTGGAGGCACACCATACATAATGCCGCTGACTCCTTTGAGAGTTCATGAAGAACTAGTCTCGAGGAGAAAAGACAACGCAGGAAGAATCGTGCCCCACCTGTTCCACCCAAGGAGACCTTCTGCTATGCCTTTTGTAGCTGGATTTGCCTATCCCACATTGGCCTTCTTAGTCATCAGCACGCTTGTAGTAAGCGTGGGTAAAAGCCCTTCCCAAATCTTCGTTCGCGAAGTCAAGCCATGAATGAATGCATGACTTTCTGGCAAAAATCAGACATCTGTGCTGGTTCTTCTAGGATTCACTTTTTAAGTGTCCTGTATAGCTTTCAGATTCTGGTAGCAGAGTAATGTGTCCAACAATTCAAAATGGAATTGTGCTTCTCTGCCTCTGTTCTTTCCATATTTGAAATTCAATTTTGTATGGTTGAGTAACTTCTCACATGTGTTGTGACATAAGAAGAATAGCTTCAGCTGCCATTCTGTCAGCTGCAATTGTTTATTTCTTTGTCATCTACCATTCTATGTAAACAGAAGGAACCTGTCTTCCTGATTACTGGCTAATACGACAAGGGCATCTTCCTGAAGGTTGAACCATTGATGGCAACAGGATCTTTGCACTTTTTCAAATGTGACTGCACGTTTCAATTTTTAAACATGGACTGTAGCCCTCTTAAAATTTTATCACTTAGTCTACTATTATGTGACTTTTACCTTTGTGTTATTAAATGTTTTTTTTCACACTGGGTTGTATCAGGGCTGTGCTTTTGATATCTCTGTCTTCGTACCATGTGTCTTCATTCCTCCCTTAAAATGAATCTTGTCTCTTAGCTTCCACCTTCACAATTTCCTAGTTGTGATAGAGTGTCCTTGATTAGCAATAACAGGCTTCATTACCAGTATTCAGAACAGCAGTGGCTTCTGAAACCCATTGTGTCCGTAGTGTGTAAAAAGGATGCAGGGAATTTATTTCATACCTTTGGGAGTTTGCTTGCAGTCTATTCACTCTGAACAAGAGTTACTTCCATGTAAATTTCTATAGCCTATCTTCTATTATCAAACATTAATTTTGGGTTTTTGTAGGCAAATAGCACACCCCTTTCTCAAATCTCGACTTCCCAGAAGAGCAAAATGTATCATGCCTACTTCTGAAGCAGTTTTTGAGACATGGAATTTGGTTATATTTGCTTAGACTGGTTATTTAATGTGATAAATACTTGCTGTCTGTAAAGGAATTGCTGTTTTAAAACTGGTCTCTGAAAAACAGAATGCGTTCTAATTTTTGTGATGGATAAAACCCTGTTGTTGGAAAGAGCAATACATATGATGTTGTCAGAGTATCGTGGCTGTAATAACTTTACAGGTCTATAACAAGTTTATTTTTAAACAAACTTTGTTTTATAAGCTGTATTATAATATCAACTATATCATCTGTTCTTCAGCTGTTTTATTTTTAAAAATGTACTTGATATGTCTCCAAATATTTCTGTGGTTTTCAAAAAAATTATTGTCTGGTTTCATACGGATGATAGAACTAAAACAATGATAGGGTTTGAAAGAATGCTGTGGCTTTTAAAGCCACCATGTTTAACATTTTTGAGGTTTGAAATCCAAAGTATTTTTGGCAACATTGAATGGTCTCATATAATAAAAGCTTAAAATAAGATTGGATTTTGACAATAATTATGTTTTAAGTTAGCAATATTGTTCATATAAACAATGAAAACAGTATATAAAAAGTTTATCTATCCACTTTGTTAAAGTTTTAATGGGATTGCTGTTATTACAGCTCTTACTGAATCAGAGAAGGAATTATAACACAGCAACTTTTCTTCCTCAAACTTCAGATTATCCAAGTGAATTAGAAATAAATGAATTTCTTAATGAACCAGAAAAAATGCATATCAACAATAAAAATAATAAGGATTTCATTAAAAAGAACATAGAGGTAAGCATTAACACATAAAATCATTAACATTTTGTTAAGTGTTAACTAAAAATATTATGTAAATACTTCTGGAACCGTTTTTTTGTTTTTGTGGATTTTTGTTTTTATTTTGAGTCAGGAACAGTAAAAGCTAATTAGGCATAAATGAAAAAATTTTCCTGTTAAAAAGTGTTGCTTATGGCAGAGTATTCTATAAGGTAGTTCTCATCTTGGATGCTTATGTTGATGGGGATAATACTGCTCCTATGTATATGCTAAAGAGTATCGGAAACGGAATTGTTCTGTTTGTGTCTGGGCATAGCTAGTTTTGAGGGCAAATATTTCCTAAGACTTTTGTTAAGTGCATTTGCTATTAAGTTAAAGGAGGATGTTCTTAAGCATAGATAAGGAATAGGTATGCAAGTTGCTGTTGTATAGCCTGCATGGGACTGTTATTTACAGAAGACTTCTTTCTGTCAGAAAACAGATGCCTTGATTTTTGTGCTTTTTTTTTCTTCCTATGAAGTTCTAGTAGCTGTGATAATTTTTCATCTAGTAAAAAATATCCACCCCGCTCCTATGTCAAAAACTACTATAAGATTATCAGTTTTTATGTAGGCATCTAGATTTTTCTGTCAGAGTGATAATTTTTATTATGGGAATAAGCACGATTTGGATGTTAATTTCAGAGAGTTTAAACACTTTGTTTTAGTGCTGTGTGAGCTAATGGACTTCTAAATTTTGGGGTTTTTTTTTTGTTTCTTTGTGGGTTTTTTTTAAATATTTCAGCTAGCAAAGGATTCAGAAAACCGTTTCATGCTTGAAGAAGAAAGAAAAAGGCTAATTGAACTACTGAAAGATACAGAAGATGGAACCGAATTGCAAGGTCCTGAGGTATGGCAATTTGTACTGTCCTGCTTTATTTGGCTTATTTTTATGGTAATTCTAAATTTGACTTGGTATTAGTCCTACCATGAAGTAAATCACTGAGATACGAGACAAAAGCTGGAGAAATCCAATTGCTCTTTTGTCTTCAAGAATGATTTTTCATTGGCTGCTTTGTTAATTTTACTAGCACCTGGACATGCCTAGCCTCAGAAAAGCAACAGAACCTGAAAGTTCGACATGGGTGGAAGGAGCCTCAGAAGGACACTTTGTGAAAAAGATGACCTATTTTCTCTGCATAAAATGTGAAGTTATGGCCTATCAATCTGAGTGGCTAGTGCTGTAGTTTCAGGTAAAGGGGTCAGCAACTATTTCAGAAGAACTCTTCACGGTAAAAGAGTTGATTGTTACTTCTTCTAGGAGAGTCTGTGCCTCAAAATGTTTCCCAGTGATGTGAAGACATCATATAGTCTTTTGATCTTGTAGTTACTAGAAGATGCCCTTTATCAGATACTACTTAGAGGGGAATGTCACAGTGAAGGAGTGTTTTGGGGCTGTTTCACAGAAGTAATCATAAGGCTGTCAGGATGGGAAGATAAAATTTGGGTAGAAAAATGAATCATACTAGGAACTTACAGTACTTTTCAGCAATATAGTATTAAATATGTTAAAGTTATGTGTTTTCATAGAATTAACATCCTCTGACTATGTAAGCTTGATATAACACTTCAAGAAACCTGCATTTTAATAAACAAGAAGAAATATTGGGGAAAATGCTTGTGTAAAGAAATTGGGTAACCTTTCTAATTTGTTTTACATTTAAATGAACATTAAGTCTATAGTAATATTATGAGCTTTTCCACAGAATTTAAAAGCATACACTGAATCACAATACCTAAGAGAAAAGATGTGAACTCTGTGTAGAATGAACAAAGTATATCCAAAGCCCAGTTTCAGTTTAATTTATATAGCTAAAGTGATCTGCAGTAAATTATTTTTCAGTAGGTTAAATAACAGCTTAGGTGTGAAAGAAAGAAACAAAAGCAAATGCAATTTATTTTTTTAAATTGTCTCTTCCTGTATTTTATTTTAATCTATTTTTTAATAAGGTGATGAAGACATCAAAGAGGTGATGCTCTACGTTACTGTTCCTTAAAATGTGTCTAAAATCCACCTTCATAAATTACCGTTTCAGACATGGGTTTAGGATATGAGCTCAGGATTTTTTTCATCTGAATGGAAATCGAGAACTAACTTGCCCGTGGTTCACAACATTAAACAAATCTGTAATTTACTCAACTTAAGTGTGATTTCTAGGTTGAAACTCATTCACTTTGTAATCCAAAACTTTTCCCTTTACTCCAGGGGAACTAGTAAATATACACTGTGTTTTGTCATTTTCAGAGCTTTGTGGGTCAAATAAAGTTAAGGAGTCTGTAGAAATCAGGAAAACTTGGTGGTCAAATGACTAAGATTATATAATGTGCAGTATTTTAACAGTAACTTTTCATTCACAGTAAGATAATGTAGAAGCGCAGAAACATAACCTTTGCTGATCATTGGTATATAAAGTTTTAAAACTATCAGCCATGCTAAGTGCTTATGCTCATGAGATGAAAAACATCTGTAAAATTATACCAGTCTTCCTGTTGGCCTGATATTTGTTCCCTTACTTTACATAGAAAACTTAATTATTTTTGGACATGAATGCTGAGATTGCAGATTGACTTACTTATGTGTGTAAAATATTCATCAGTTAATGATGTTGCATAGGTATTTGGTTTATCTGACATAGTTTAGCACTCAAAACAATACAGTGGAAGGCTCTTTGGCCTAATGTTGACCTACTGGTTAGGAAAGTTGATTTTTATTTTACTTCTGAATTTGTTGCATATTAGAAGAATGAAGTTAAAGCGCACTGGATCATAATTTAGTTAATTTTTTGTCTGTGCATTTTGAAAAGATTCAAGGTATTCTGTTAAATCTGCTTGCAGCAGGATTGGCATTAGAACCCTGAGTAAGGGTGACAGACTGTTCAGCTGTAACAGTACTTCATCCAGTCTAATAGGAAGAAACCATAGGGAGAGTGTTGTGGCTGTTTTTTCCTCATCAAGGACGTGTTTCAGTGTGAGGACATAAAACTGTAGAGGTTTTACTATTTATATCGGGTATTAAATAGATCACAGGATGTGTGTTGCTCTATCTTCTTGACCAATGGACAAGAATGGGAAAGGTAATTTGTGAGTTAGTCGTCTGTACTAGATCATCTCTTCAAAGAAAACAGCTCCTAAATCTAAAACCAAAGTACAATAAAAGAAAGGTTTAGTTACTTAAACGTGTCTAGTCTGGAGATGAATTTGTTGTGTCTCACATTTGAATTTTATTATGGGTGAGGCATTTCCTGTGGCTGCTCTATAACAAAGATCATGAGGAAATTATCAGGTAATGAGTAATCTAGACTGCTTCAAGCAGGTCCAGGTAACTGTCCAGCTGATGGCTACTTTCATCTTACTTCTTACTAACTTTTAAAAAACTGATGCAACCACACTGGCTAAAATAGTGTTTTGGAGGTTATCAATCAAGGCAGATCTGGCTATGCTGTATGAATTCCTCTGTATAGCGTAATGTGGATCAGGTTAAATCAACTTAATTTGACTTGGACTACTAAATATGTCAAATATCCAAGCAGTATTTCTCACTTTTTAAATAAAGTGTTTTATGAGTATTTAAAATACTTTAGAAGTATGTATTCATGCTAATCTAATTTTCAAAGCTGCAGGGGTATAATTTGTTTCAGATGTTCCACAGTAATAAGCACTGACTGTGCTGCTATAAAAGTATTGTTCTGAGTTAAAACACAGGAAACATTGGCAGGACAGCAGCTTATTTTCCAAGCAAAGCTATCTTGCAAATACAGAAGAGAGTGTGTTGAGTCCATTTAACTCTGGAGTAAAGTGACTACTAGAGTAATTTGGTTACCTGGAGCACTAGGATATGATGGCATGGGATGCAAACAGTGAGCTGTACCTAGTTGAGCCCAGCTGCAGCTTGACTGACTCCTGTAGAGTCATTTCAGTGTGTTTGCACTGTGCCCTTCAATGTCAGATTAGGGGTGGTTAGCATGACATCAGTGTAGTACCACATTGGTTACCTATGATGGTCACTGTCTCACCTGAACAGATGCTTCAACAAAGCAGGAAAGCTTCTAGAGATATTTCTGCATGGCTCTTCTGGAGTCAGGTCATTTCCAGTTAGGCTTACTACTTGTGTTGTCATATTTGTATGAGAAAGCATTAGAAGAACTGACTTTGTTTCATGGAAGAGATGACTCTGTCTTCTTTTTAATTATCTTTTAAGTTTTACTTGGCATGGAGATAACTTGTGACAGGTGTTGGGGTATTCTTTTTTTCTTTTCATAACTAATACACTTTACGATAATGGGGATGAACCAGAGATGACCTCATAGTAGTGGTATCATAATTGGAAACTGGTATTTCCTCCTTGTCTGTGGACACTACTGCTTGAATAGCCAGAGGACTAATCTGAAAGGTGTAAAGGAGTGGTGGACATGAATCCTTTGCAAGACAGAATTTGAAGTCTTAGGGGAAGGTGGCCCTCTTCTGTTAGGAAAACAAAGCCAGCAGTACTATCGTGCATCCCTGCTTGCCCCTTCTAAGGTCTTACCTGGTGTTCCTTTGTGCTCAGGACAGAGACATAATCCGCTAATGTCCTTCCCACTGAATGATGGTTGTGCAGACTTGCTTCCCTGAGTATGAGACTGGAATGCCAGGTTGCTGTGGGGAGCCTGCACCTGTTCATGAACATGAGCTCATTTGTTTGAGTTAAGAGGGCCAAGCTTATTCATAATATGCAACTGTCTGTACTAGGAGCACATATACATATTTGTTAGTCAGCTGTTAACTGTGATCAAGAGGAAAAAGCCATGTAAATCACAAAGAGTAAAATAACTCTCTGGTTTTTGTCTCTCCCACTGTTTCTTGTGATAACATACTGGGGCTCTAGAAAGGTGGTAGCTACTCACCTCAGAGCAGTGCCTTTGCTTTCCTGTGGATGGCCTATTTTCTTCTTTGGTGATACACTGCAAGTTTTGCATTGGATCTCACACCCTCATTTTGAGATTTGGCTCCAGGTGGTTTCTGCCGTGGCATCAATGTCTGCAGTTTCATTCCAAGCCTGGTTTTGACTTGGATTTGTCTTCTTCAGAAGCAAAAAATAGTTGATGTCTCAAGCTGGCTGTATGGTCAACTCTGTACAGTTCCTTGGATTTAAGTTGTAATATGGTGTTTCAAGAATAAGTGTGCAGACAAGGAGTGCTGAGATGCAAGGTGTAACAAAAGTAATCCAGAATGATGTTGAAGCCAGTCCTGGTGCAGTTTGAGGGCTGTGCTTCTCCAATATTAGCTCCAATTGTGAGCTTATAGCAGCATGTTCTTTGTGTTTTCTATCTTAGGACTGGTGGAACCACATCTGCCAGATGCTTTTGTCTTCATCTCTGTCCTGTGCACTATTTTGCAAAGAAGCACAGCACTCCTAAGTTGATTTTTATGTGGGCATCAGACAGTGATGCTTGCTGTGCAGCAGTGGACAACATGATCTATATGCAAGTTAGACCATGTCAAGCAATTATTCCTTCAAAGAGCAGCTGAGACTTCTATGTTTAACAAATACAGAAACTGCAACAAGGGAAGAGTTTGCATCCATGGAAGGGAGCTATGATAGGAATGACATGATGTGAGACTATTTTAAAGGTTCAACTAACTTGGCTAAGAGGCTATAAAGTGAGGTGTGTCCTTCAGAAAAAGGGGTTCACTGTCCAAATGCTTTTCTTGACTGTGCAAGAACTTGATCAAGGGAGTCATATAACCTTCAGAAGAACAGATGGGGAAATTGGGAGCTGTCTAATTGCTTTGTGGCCAGCTGTCATGGAGGGAAAACATTTGGTTTTAAGCAGTTTTATTTCAGGGCTTTTAGAGTGGCTATTTAGTGAAGATGTAGGCTTTGGACTTTCACAGAAATAAGTAAATAAGCTTGTGTAAACCTAAACAGCAGAAATCTGTTTTGCTATTACATTTGGGCGATGCATGTAAATGCATATGCTTTCTAAAAATTAAATATATTTAATTTTTTAAGTCCATTTTAATTTGCTGCTTGGTTATATCTAAAGGTGAGAAAATGTATGGCTCTAATTGTTCTGCCTATATCTGCTTTTGAGTGCTAAGTACATGAATATTTGGTAGGTTTCAGCTATATACTAAAATGGATGAAAACTTATGTTTTATTCTTAGTATGGTTGATTTGAAAAATAAATACACTTGATGTGTAACCGCCTTTCAGGTCTTTGGGAATGATGATTAAATGTTTTCTGTATCTTTCGATAGGAGGATGTATGTGGCTGGCAAGAACCCGGAGAAGGGTATATACCTGACCTGATGGAACTTCATCACCTAAAGGAGATAGACATTAAACTTCAAGCGCTATTATCTCATAGGGATTTTTCAGCTATTTCCAGCTCTCAGTCAAAACTTCCAAGCCAGAGTTATCAGGTATATTACAGAATTTCAGATTTCTTGTTTGAAGTGTGTGTTGAGATCTGATGTAAGTGAAAATATAGCATGTGTCTGTATTTGTATTTTTTGCATTTTTCTTTAGTGTCTTCTATTTGTTGTCAAAATAAGTGTGAAAGAATGAAGTGAAATCTTTGCCTATAGAAATCATACCAAAAAATGATATGTTAGTATTTTTAGTTGGTATGTAATTCGAAGACTCTCTTTTTTTTTTTTTTTTTTTTACATTTGCTGAGTCCACACTTTCAAGAAAACAGTTCATATGCAGGAATTGGTAACTCAGGTGGTTTTACCTATACAAGGGCCTCAGTGATTTTGTCAGCATGGTGACATGTTACCCATGATAATTAATCTTTGGGAATTAGAATTAGGTTTCTTCTTACCTCAGGGTTCCAAATGTGCTTCTTAACTTATGATCTGAAAGATGAAGCAATTGCTGATAATATTAAAGACTAGAAAATGTGTTGAAATTTGTTTCCCTTATTTGTAATGACCTTTGTCTTTTTCCATTACCAGCAGTAGTAAGAACCTTTGGGATCTTAGCCTTGGGAAATGATTGTTTGAATTCTGTACATAGAAAACTCCAATTTATCCTCTGCCCTGGTATTGTTATAATGGAGCATATAATAAAATACTATAATTCCTATTTTGCACTAATTTGCATAAATCTCATTTACTTCTGTAAAATTTACAGTTTATAACCAGAACAGGTATATCAGAGGCTCTGTAAACAGAGTATGTTGTCAAAACCGTGTTTTCGGTTGCAAGTGTATAAGGGATATATCTCTTTGAATGGCTAAAATACCTGTTGTTTTTTTTTTTTTTAATTTTAATAAAGACACTTTTTTAATGTCATTTTTTTTTATTGACTTCTCTGTGACCTTCAGGTTTTGTTTTACCTGTAGCAGTGTTTTCTGTTGCTCTAACAGTTCCAGAGAAGTCACATTTTGATGCCAATCATGCTGAACTGGGATTTAATGTGTGAAATAGTGACTCCCTAGAGTTGGTAATCACGCAAATGCTGTTGTCACAAAGTAACTTCAGGTTCATGGACCTGAGCTTGCCAATGATTGCTTGCTTGAAGTTAGTTCGACTGCCTATGATAATGAATACTCTGGGAATGTTTGTGCAAGTGGCTGTTGCTTCCTTTTCAGGTAAAAGCTCAGAAGTATTTGAATGGAATTTATGTGTATGCTTACTGAAGAATAATGCATTACCTTGTTTAATAATACTAAACTTAACAACTGAAAAGAGAATCAATTGCATAAATTACCCTTCATTAGTTACAAGCAGCTGCCCTTCAACTTTGTTTTGCAGGACATAAAAGGCTCTCAGACACTGTAGTTCTGGAAAACACAGGATTCCATTTGTCTTTGCTTTTTCATTTTTGTTTGTTTTGTTCAGATAAGCATATGAGTCGTTTTAATAAAAGCTACCAAATAACAGGAGTATTTAAAGGTGGTTTTATAAATTCAGAGAGAGAACCAAACAGGCAAAATGTAAGGTGAAGTGAGTAAAAGGCTTTAGTTATTTAAAACTGGGTTTACAAGGACACTAACTGTATAAATGCAAAACTAATTAAAAAAAACGCAACAAAACAAAATCCAAAAGCAAACCTTCTGACTCTGCAGCTATCCACTTCCAGAAGTGTCTTGGTTGTCAGGTGCCTACCTAGTTGACTACAAAATCCTGTAGGTGCTTTAATTTCCATTTCTCTGCATGTCCAGAGCTGCTCTCCTCAGCAGAGGAGAGGGTTGCCTTAGTTTCACTGGGATCCAGACTTCAGGCAAGTAAATTTTGAGATCGTCCTGAAGCCTGATTTGGTCAGAGCAATCTGCATCTGGCACTGTGACATGAATGGATTTGTTTATATTTACCTAGAATTTAAGCTGCTTTTTTTAAATCTTTTTATTTTTTATTTTTTTTTTTAATGGTAAGTGGAGGGGAAAATAGTTGTCTTAACGTTCAGGCACTTGGCTGCTTGATTGATTGATGGCCTGGCTTTGCGAACGAGGATTTGGGAAGGGCTTTACCCATGCTTACTACAAGTGCGATGACGACTAAAAGGGCAATGTGGGATGGGCAAATCTGGTTGGAAAAAAGGGTAGTCCTTCACGATGTTTCCAAACAAGACTGTCATCTCCTGAGTCAATCTCAAGCAACCAATGTCCTGAACCGCCTGCATGCAGGGTTGGGTCTGAGACGTTCAGTGCACCTTATCACCTTATCACTTGACTGCTTACTGTGGAAGGTTCCTGCCAGGTCTCGCCTTTAGTTCTATTAGTCCTGTGTTCTTGGTTATGGTTATTTTTGTTTTGGTAGGTAAAATGTCACTCTTCATACACAGCAATAACAAGTCAAGTTCTGAATTTATTTATGCGAGTTTATTCCCCACACCTTCTGTTTCAAATTAAATTAATAATTGCTTTTTTAAAAAAGCAGGAAGCAACAGTAGCTGAAAAATTAGTGGCTACTTTGAGTTTATAGAGAGCTTCCTGGCAAAAGGCATGAAAAATGACAGTTTGTTGCTGCTTGTGGTCTTCTTAGGACAGTGGTGTTTATCACTATCAATATTCCCTAATACTGTTATAAATGGGAAGTTTTAATGAACTGCTTTTAACAAAACTTTGTATTCTTGAGACATCAGTTCTGATTTCAAATAATAGGTGGGTCACAGAGTAATACCAGATTTCTTTGTACTGGATGTCTTTGGAACCCGATCAAAAGCAACTGCTCCCTACCCAGAATAGGTCTGAAGAAATTTAATTGAATGATATTTTTGCCAGAAGAAGATCTTGCTTTGTCATATGTTAATGTGAATGTCACATGCAATACAAAAGCAGTAAGAGTTCTGGTTGTCTGCCCCTTGTTGTGTTTGATTTCAAGTGTTCAATGACAAAATTTTCAATTGCTTCTTCAGCTGATGATAGCAACTAAATGAGGAAGTAAACTAGCTATCAGCACTGCAAGGCTGTTATTCTCTGTAAAACCAGTTAGAATTGGGACACATTTAGTAACAGCAAATTAAATAGGCAGGAATTACCCTATTTGTTCATCCTCGCACATACTCTCTAAATGCTGTGAGAGATAAAAATCCTCGTGAGACTGGGGATCTGTGGTATTCAAAACTGATAGCGATAATCTGATATTACTGAAGTCTCAGGAAGGTTTCTGTTAATTTCTTTTATTCAGGGTTTCAGTTTATATTTTATTGCTGCTTCTCCTATAAGTGAGGTAAATTCTGTAAACTTAATTGCTAGATAAAGATGTTGGCACAGATGCTATGGAATGCAAATTAGAATGCTCTGCAATATTTCTTTGTTAGGAGCTTTTTTTTTTTTTTTTATGTTTCATTTTTCAAATTAAGGTGCCAAGCTTGAAAAAAAAAAAAATAATCTGGAGCATACAGAATTTATTTAGAATGAGTCTAGTTGTTGGAGGACACCAGTCTAATTTGGAACATGACTTTCAGTTCCAATCAGAGACTGATTTCAGTGACATTAATCTTTCTTCAAAAAATTAGTGGTGAAATTATTTCTGATTTCCATGAGATGTGGGTTTCGTCTGAGTAGGATATCATGTATTAGTGATGAGGAGCATTTGGAACAATTGTTAGTATGTACATAATTTGCTTGGATTTTAATTTAGAGCTTTAGACATAATTAAAATAAAATTAGGTTAAAGTTGCATATCATAAAGTGGTACTTTTTTTTTCCTTCTTTTTTCAGCCAAGAATTGCATTAGGTACAACTTTCAAAACACAAACACCACTGGCTCAATGGAGAGCTACTTTTGCCACTGATACATACTTTGGCAGGGTATAGGAAATCTGACTCTGAAATCTTTAACAACTGGTTTTAATTATCCTGCAGTACCATCACTGAGCTGTTACAGAGAAGCATACAGATTTGTCTTTTTGTGCAATGAGCTCAGATGAATTCAGAATGCTTTTCCATGATTAATGTTCTCTTTTACATGGAAATGCTTCTCACCAGACCTGCATTTCTTTTTTGAAGCATTTCTTTGTTCTGGTGCCAACTTAATTACATATTTAAAAATGCTTCTGTCTTGTTTAATTTGTTCCTTCCTAAAAATATGAAGTTGAATGTAATCCTGGAAGAGACAGGAAAATGGTAGGATGAACAATATGAGATGTAAGATTGTGTGTGATGAGTCAAGTTACCAGCTTGAAAAGCTGGAAAACTACCTGAAAATAAAAAGAAATGGAGATGGTGTTTAGAAAAACATAATATCTATCTGTTTGATTGTCTGTGAAGATGACTAATGTTGTGTATTACCCTTATGAGTTCTTTCATACTTGATTTGGTTTCTTTTATCAGAAAAGTGTTCATTTTTCAGTTATAGCAGTAGACTACAGTTGATAGTTTAAAACTAAATAAATACTCAAAATAATAAAAATTCTGAAGATATTTGGACGAGTATAATTAAAACTAATTTTTCAATTAATGAACTCTTTGGTGGTCTATACCCTGTGCTAGTACTTCAGCAAAAAGATGGTTTTGATAGATATCTATTTCAGGGCATGGTTAGAAGCAGGTTAATAGGCTGATTAGGCGTTTTTGTGGCTCAAGAAGATTGTATGACACTAATACCTTTCATTAGCTGGGATTTTGTTTTTATAGAATTATAAATGTCTATGCAATAGACATATATATAGAATTAATAATGTCTGTAGAACAGACATTAGAATTTTGGAAAAAAGGGAGTGCAACAAATAAGTGTAGCCATTTCAAATACTGGATATTTCTGTTTTGCACTAGAATTGTTACAGCTTTGGCTGTTGCTAAGTACTTATGTATTCCCTTGTGTAACAGTTTTATTTTCTACTTTATCTTTAGGATACTTAGATCTTTAATCTCAAACTGAGTTCCCCTATGTACACATGCCGTATAATTGAAACATAAAATGTTTTGAAGAATCTGAAATGCTGAGAATAAGGTTGTTTTTTTTTTTTTTTTTTTTGTGATATAATACTTCCTATGTTTATTTCTGGCATCTTGAGAAAACTATTAAAAAAATAGTAAGTGGGGAAAAGTTTCAACTTTGCTCAACACTGGAACAGGCTGCCCAGGGAGGTTGTGGAATCTCCTTCTTTGGAGACATTCAAAACCCGCCTGGACACGTTCCTGTGTAACCTTATCTAGGTGTTCCTGCTCTGGCAGGGGGATTGGACTAGATGATCTTTTGAGGTCCCTTCCAATCCCTAACATACTGTGATACTGTGATACTGTGATATGTTGTGAGTTCTGATCCATTACTATCCATGCCTGAGAGAAATGAGACTGTAAGAACTACTTCCATGAAAGCAGCAACTTAATGCTTTGTAGTGATCAGATGTCAAATAGATAATTAGGAACAATTATGAAAGGAATACAGAATGAAACAGAAAATATCAGTGTGCTGCTGTATGCGTCTGTAGTGCACCATATAGCTGGACCATTGTGCAGTTGTCCTCCCTGGATGTCATAAGGAGTACAAAAAAAAAAAAATAGAAAACTGGTTACCAGAATGTTCAGAAGTGTAGAATGGCTTCTATGCAAAGATTGACTTACACAGAGTTTAGAAAAAAGGAGTAAAAAGGAATGTATTTGAAGTGTGCAAAACCATTCTGATCAGAGAGGAAAGAGAGAGAATAAATAAGAATTTTTATTTTTATTTCTTACCTTATCATCTAACTAGAATTATGGCTGTTGTGGATATTGATGTTGGAGAAATGTCGAGACAAATACTTTTTACTTCTGATTTCTTGTAAATGCTTACAGTCCAGGTTTTATCCAGCACACTGATAGGAATTCTTTAGGTGATATGGCAGAAATCAATATTCAAGAGAAGTTTATGGAGAATAAAGTCATTGTGTTTATCCCAGTTAAGAGTTTTCTTTGACAGAACAATAATGTCTTACCAGAGAAGCAACCAGGCTTAAAATGGTACTATAATAAAAGAAAGAATAAGTCAGGATACACAGTTTTCCCAAAGTTTGAAGGTGTTGCTCGTAAGTGCTGGCAGTAGCTGAGCTGTCTGCAAAATGAAACAATGTATGCCTGAAAGTATTTGAAAGGCAGAGATCTGCATACAGCTTTTTTAAAAAAATGTATGCGAAAAGTAGTAACTCTTTTTAACTCCTCTCACTGTCACCTTTTGAATCCAGCTGGTACTGCAGCAACATCATTTTCAGAGATGCTGTTTGAAGTTTGAGCTGTGCTTTGAAGGCTCAGTTCATACAAAAAATCCCAACCAGTAGTCCATGCATACAAGCCCCAGAAGAAAATACTGGGAAGTATAGTATAGCATTTAGTGGCTTCTCAGTACCACGAGCTGCAGCATATTCTTATAGGTGTATTTATAACATTGATTTTTAAAATAAATCAGAACTACAGCTCTGATCCATGCTGAGCACTAGCTGCTCACATGGTAATATATCTATATATACAAAGATCAAAATAGTAAATTTAGAAATGTAATTGCAGAAACAGCTATAACTTAAAAAACCCCAAAAAAACAAAAAAAAAAAAAAAAAGAAGAAAAAGGAATATGATGCCATCATCTTCCTTCCCACCTTTCTACGAACAATTTCATTTGTATTAAAATCGCTGGGAGAACAAAGCCATATAAAACCATTTCCTCATATTAGAAGGAGCTTCAGTTATAGTTTGAGCTGCCCTGCTAGCTCTATTCGTATTGTAGATGTAAAGATCATATCCTTCTTTCGTGTATTAATAAACAAATTTAAGTCCTTTGGTTTTTTTATGTTCTGTACAGATGTCAGTCATGCAGATTTCTTGCCATTGGGTATCATATTTAATTAAAACCCTCTCTCTTTGTATTTAGAAGCCTACATTTAGACACTCAATATCAAGAATTTGGCTTTAGGCATCCCACACTAAACTTCAGCCCAGTTTGGGGAGAGTCTAGTCATTAACAGATGGTGCTGTTCATATCTCTGTTACAGGAAAATTTACTGGCACTATGGTACTGCCAACTATTGCTGATTGTATATATCCAAAGATTTGTACTGTGTTAAAATAAGTCTATTTTCAGGCAACTGCTAGTTTGGTTTAAAAGTCAGAACTCATGGATTGGTTTGATGTTTAGAAAAAGTTGTTTACAGGTGCTTGCTTTTTTTTATATAATGTAGTTGGGAAATTTTCTGTTGAGCGTTAAATTGCAAAGGTTGTTTCTCTTAGACATGCTACTTGAAATTCTTTCCCTTGTGTGTGTTTATTAAGATTGCTTGAGCTGCTTCTAAAAATAAGAATGAATAGAATATGTTTTCATTAAATGGTTGCTCATGTTCCTTTGGGTTGAATTGACTAATGGTTTGGGGTGGGTTTTTTGATTTTTTTTTTTTTTTTAATCCTCTGCCATTATTTGGATTCCTTTGGTTCTTCTATAGGATGTTTGGTTTGCAAGACAATGCCCTAGTGTTTCTCAATTACAACATAACTTTTCTGTTTTGCCAATACTTGTCTTTCTTAATAATTTAAATTAAATGTAATGAATGCATTCAGGACTGAAAGAAACTTTGGAATCCTATCCAAAGCTCCTGAAGGATCTGACAATGTGTAACCGAAATCTTTAATAATGGTTGTGCATCTAACGCCAACCTGCAGCAAGAGGATTCTTTCTTATTTATCATGATATCTAGTAAACAAAACCTACCGAGACTTCAGTTCTTCCTTTCCCTTCTGGCCTCATTCTGATCCCTGTATGTTTAATAGGAACAAGTTTTGAACCCCTCATTCAGTCTCCCTTATTCTCAGTGCATTTTTATTGTTGCTGAATTTAAGCATCAAGAAATTCCTCTTAAAATGTGAAGGGGAAGAACACTTTTTGTTTAAATAAGTCCAGCCTGTTATTTAGCTATTCCATTTAAAAACATGCATAATAACATTATGCATTTGCTAAATTTGAAATTGACACGTTATTCTAAACATTTGAATGTTTTCCTAATAGGAATGAAAAGAACACTTACTTGGATTTGAAGGAATATAAAGTCATATGTCTGATTTCTGCCACTTCTTGTCAGGAGTCTCTGGTTTGTGCAAACAGAAGCCTAGAAGCAGTTCCAGGTGAAAAGGTTCTGCGAGACAACAAGGAACAACGTGATCAACAAAATCGTCTGAAAGAAATAGATCTTCAGCTGAAATCCGTAAAGAGAAATCATGTAAGTTTTCTATTTTTGTTGTATTTTTTCCCCCTCAGTTTGAAAAGTTTGGAGTCTATAATTGCGTGTGTCTTAAAATACAACTGAATTCTGTAGCCTTCCCTGGGGAGGAATCCCTGGGGAAGCAAAGTCTCAATTTTTGCCAACCTGGGAAACACATTTTTCAGTTGTAATGCATGTTTCTCATTAACATAGTGTTTTTCAAAGTGAAGAAAATGATCCTCTCTTCTCTCCAGAGGGGGATAGCATAAACAATTATAAATAAATACATCCTAAAAGGTTGGTGGGTTTTTTTAAAATGGCTTACATAACTCGGAGTTTTTTGAAGGAGCTGATCCGGTGGTAATGTTGTATACACTAAGTTATTGTGTGATTTAGTTTGGCTAAATTGATTTCGTGTATTTTTGTAACTTACATTTAATTTTATACATGAATTTCATAGGTGCAAGGGCCTTTAAAATAGGAGCATGGAAGTGAAATAGTAGTAAAAATCATTACCATTTTAGAAGAAGTATGTCACATCTCATCCTTATTACAACTTCAGTGAAAGTGGGTAGGGGAAAGACAATTTCAAATCCAAGAGCATCCTACTGTTAACCTAGTAGGCAGAAATTATGTTCATTTCTAAGTCACAGAGCCAGTAGTGACAAAACAAAACAGATGTACCTCTCTCAAGTGATATTCTATTATTTTCTCTCTCAGTGAGTATAATTTATTACATTGCTCTCATGTTGTGATAAGGAAATTTAACTAAAAACTTTTGACAGGTGAACCTCAAGGACTTCAGAAAACTTTACTGTTTTTTACATATACGTTGTAAACATGCAGTTTGGTATGTGCTGAAAGAGCTACAAAGCAGTGTATGCAGGAGAGAAAATATATAAAACATTAAAAAAACAGATGAATTTGGAAGGAGAGTCCTAAGATGATACAGTTGTCATTTGATGGGCCTGAAAGCCAATGTTGGTATTCATTTTTATGTTGGATCTCTCACAGATCCTCTTAAGAGCACAGAAAAGAAATCATAGAATCAGAATAGTTAGGGCTGGAAATGACCTTAAGGTCATCTACTTCCAGCCACCCTGCCACGGGCAGGGATGCCTCACACTAAACCACATCACCCAAGGCTCTGTACAGCCTGGCCTTAAACACTGCCAAGGATGGAGCATTTACCACTTCTTTGGGCAACTTGTTCCAGTGCCTCACCACCCTTACAGTAAAGAACTTCTTCCTTATATCCAATCGAAACTTCCCCTGTTTAAGTTTGAACCCGTTACCCCTTCTCCTATCACTACAGTCCCTAATGAAGAGTCCCTCCCCAGCATCCTTATAGGCCCCCTTCAGATACTGGAAGGCTGCTATGAGGTCTCCATGCAGCCTTCTCTTCTCTAGGCTGAAAAGCCCCAACTTTCTCAGCCTGTCTTCATACAGGAGATGCTCCAGCCCCCTGATCCTCCTCGTGGCCCTCCTCTGGACTTGTTCCAACAGTTCCATGTCCTTTTTATGCTGAGAACACCAGAACTGCACACAATACTCCAAGTGAGGTCTCACAAGAGTAGAGGGGCAGGATCACCTCCTTTACCTGCTGGTCACACTCCTTTTGATGCGCCCAGGATACGGTTGGCTTTCTGGGCTGCGAGTGCACGCTACTGGCTCGTGTTCATTTTCTCATCAACCAACATCCCCAAGTCCTTCTCCACAGGGCTGCGCCAAATCTCTTCTCTGCCCAACCTGTGCCTGGGATTGCTCTGACCCAGGTGTAGGACCTTGCACTTGTCATGGTTAAATTTCATAAGGTTGGCATCAAGCCCACCTCACAAGCGTGTTAAGGTCCCTCTGGATGTCGTTCCTTCCCTCTATTGTATCAACTGAACCACACAGCTTGGTGTCATCAGCAAACTTGCTGAGGGCTCACTGAATTCTGCTGTCCATGTCACCGACAAGATTGTTAAACAAGACTGGTCCCAACACTGATCCCTGAGGGACATCCCTCATTACTGGTCTCCAGCTGGATATTGAGCCATTGACCACAACTCTGCGTGTAGCCAGTTCTTTATCCACCGATCGGTCCATCTAGTGGTCATCATGAGTTTGTTATGCCAGACCAAAAAGCCATGTAGTCTACCTTTGGCTTGTGAATGTCTTTATTTAGGAGTATGTTTACCTTCTGCAGTAATCAATGTTAGGACAAATAGTGTTCCTGTTCTCTTTTATTGCCCTGAAACGGGCATCTCCAGTGCAAATCAAAAGCTTTGTGGTTCAGATAGCAGCATAACTGCAGTAGCATAATCTCAATTACAGATAACACTGCTGCTGCAGTTGTGAAAACTTCAGCCACTGTCTACTTATGTAACATTTATGCTGGCAGTGCTGGAAATGCACAGCTGTTATGGAGTATTTATGGAGTACGGGTAAAAAGGTTTCAGACAAGGGGACAGTGCTTGCTTTAGAGGCTGTTCATGTGTGTGTGTGACTACAATAAGGCATATTTAGCTCATACCTGTTTGCAGTACTAAAACAATCTTAGAAATTCATTTTAATACAGTGCTTTATTATACTAAGCACTTAAAAGATAGGAGTAAAATAAATATAGGAATTCTGTGTGACTTCAATGTATTGAATGGGTTAATGGGTAAACAGATAAAATAAGCCTGCATATTGTAGTCATTGACCTTTATATCACTTTTTGTCGCTACTGATCTTGTCAATGAGGCAAACACAATCTGAGGAAGTGCGTCTGGGAACTGTATGATAGTCTGTAGCAGGCCTGGGAAATGCAGTGGGCTGCTGACTCATTCAAATATTTTGTATATAAATGGGTCAGTTCCAAGTCTCACTTGCATTATAGCAGTATTGTTTGGTATTACATTACTCTTGCAACATAACACACAGTTTTTCCTTGGCTAGACTGTGAATATTTAGAACTCTAAATGGCCAAACTAGCATTGCTGTGTGCTATGCAGCACCTGGTAAGGCTTCTTCCGGGGAACATACTGTCTTCTTAACAGCTGCTGCTCTGTAGCATGACTCAGAGATCACAGCATATAGAGGTGAGATATTTGTTTATTAGGTTCTCTGTGAGATACTTTGGTTGCCAGTGTAAATAATGAAGTATTCAACTCTGAATGAAAGTAGGCTTTTCCTTCTAACAGTAGAGTAAAATATACAGAAAACATGCACTTCTTTTGCGTGAACAAAGAATAGCCTTCAGAAAATACCACTTTTTTTTTTTTTTGGTTGGTTGGTTGGTTTTAAGTTGTTTTGTTTTGTTTTTGTTTATTTTGTTGTTTTGTTTTGTTTTGGTTTTTTTTTGCCTTGATACCCTCTAATTTTATTTCTGGAAAATACAGTAATTACTAGAGAAGTTCAGACAAAACAGTATGGTATCTCCTTTCTTATACATGTGTGTGACCTACATAATTGAATAAAGTTTTTCTTATTTGGTGTGGGGATGTCTAAAAATGAAAAGACATGCACTGTGGATTGGGTGCCTTGTTTATATAACAAAGTAATATTTTGGCCATCAATTCTGTAACAATGTTAGCAGCAAAACTGCTTTCTGTCAGGCAACTGTGATAAAAAACTGAAGGCTTGGGTTGAAGGGGGAGGATGCATATTCCATGCTTCCTGAATAATGTGATGATTTCTGGAAATACTCTCCCTTATTCAATAGGTGGCACTGTTCACTGGATGTAAAGAGGAAGAAAGCCCTGGCATGCTTTTAGGGGCTGTTATTACTGGTGAAAATGTAATTTCTGTGATATAAAATACAAGTTGTAAGAGATTGCCTCTTGGTTTTGGCAAGATTCCAGTTTTACAGCTTTTCATGTTCAGTTATTTTTCTAGCTTAGTTACTTAAATTCTCTATTTAAAATTAAGGATTTTAAAATTCACATTGCATCTAAATTTCTCCTTTACTTTTTCCTAGACCACTGTAATTCACTATGTAAAATTGGAAATAAACTCTTTGCTGTGAGTAGAGGAGGATTTGTCAGGAGTTAGGAATGTTATTTCTGAATGCATGGTTATAATGGGCTTTATAATTTTAAAATTAAATATTTTACAAGTTTAATGTCTCAGTGTAGACTTATTTTAAAAATATATTTAAAAAAAAATCCTGTGATGAAATATTTTCTTTCTGTTGTTTCATTTGTTTGCTTGGTTTTGTTTCCTGGATGGAAACTATGGATAGTTTAACTAAGAATTTAGCTCTGTGTGTTAGGGAGTAACTTGCAGTAGGTACAAAGGTAACTTTATTAATAATTATTTTTTGAACAATAGAATGTTGTATTTCTTCTGCTAAATGATTTTTTGGAATGGATTTGTATAATGTCAGCTTTACTCTGACCTTCTCTCTAAGCAGGAAGAATACATTAATCATACTTCTGGAGCAGGCTACTTAGTAGGTGCTGGCTTTTGAAATTGTAAAATTTATGGGTTCTTGCACTACACTTTACCTTATATATGCTGTAAGGCTTCATGGTTTCAGCTAAGTCTGGGGCTAAGCACACAAAACAAGGCTGGAAGGGAAGACTCTAACATACTTTAAAATTGATATAAACCCAAGAAAGTTGCTAAATATTATGCTTGAAGTAATGGATCTAAGGGCTTTAGAATCTGAATCCCCCCCCGCCCCCTTTTTTTTTTTCTGGGGGGGGGGAGAAGGGCAGAGGGGGGTTTAGGGGTGTAAAAATTGTCTGCAGTGAATTAATATACCAAAGAACGTATTGTATGCATTGTTGAAACACATTGTGAAATTTCAGTCCAACTGAAATGTGTCTGTACCATGGTTTCTGGGCTCTTGCTGAATTTCTTTTAGGTTTTAGCTTGACCTTAGTTCACTTGTTCTTCACTTGAAGCCATGGCTGACTCTCTGCACATTCTTTCATCTTTCAGTTTCCTGGAAACCATTGAGCTTATCTTTGTTTTGTGAATTGCATTGTTAACTGCTGCTTCAAAAAAAAAAAAAAAGTTGAGCTGCCAAATGCGTGTTGCTGAGC